TTTATGCTCTATTAACTATGGATTTCTTTCTCCCAAATGGATATCCCCCCCTGCTGCCCCAGGACCTTTGCAGAAGAAATAACATTCTACATCTGCTTTGCATTTTGCTACCAGAGGATGTAATGGCCAATCTACATGGGCTGTTAAGCATGATGTTCTCGCCCATTCAGCAGTTCCTGTCCATATGGAACCCATTTCCAGTAGTGTTTCCTGTGGCATTAGGGCACCTGGGTCCTTTTGTGCTCTGAGCTCATTGTTAGCATGACCTGCAAATCTGAGGTTTGAGTTTCTTTTGCAGATGCAGAAGTGAGAAAACATGTGGATCATTATGATGGCAATAAAATCCCTATCCTTGCTTCTGTGATTGGATTTTCAAAGTACTACTGTGCTCTGAATGCTTCTTTGTGAATAGCAGGCTGCCTTTACCCAGCTCTCCATTTAAGATTGAAAGTATACCTGCCATTTCATACATAAAGGGTTCATATAGTGCAGCTGTGTTCATTGCACCAAACAGTTATTCTCCTTTCAAAGCTCTGGTCTTTGCCCTGGGATGCGCCTGGTCATGCAGCTGGGCATCTGCTTAGCTCCTTGGAAAAAGGGCTGGGGTAGAATGAAGTTGTTTTACCTCTGAGAGGTGCCTATCTTGTAATCTGTGGTGTCTTCCTCTGATGCAGACAAGGAACCTGAATTGTTGCACTCCTAAATCACTGTTCTTAAAAGCTAGTCTCTGAGCCGCACAAACGTTACAATTAGTTCTCAACTGGGTGTATCAAAGTGCATATGTAAACTGTTCCATAAAATGCAGTGGTATCTCTAAGTCCCAGATTTCTTCCTTCAAACTAACATCAGCTACGACTATCACAGTAAACAAGTTGGGTTTTCTCTATTTTTTTTGTAGAAGGCAGAGTCTGGACCTGTCGCTGGCATTTCCTCAGACTCTGGGATGGAGCATTGCCTTTCTTGTGTTACTGCTTGTTTTGGGACTGCTTCCTCTTATCCATTGCTAATCCCAGCTCCCTATTAATTAATTAAGAATGATAGGAGAGTTGTATGATTATTCCATTCTTTTTTCTTGAAGTGCTTCTCACTTCCGAAATTTTATCTGCTCCCAGATAGGTTCTTTTGGCTGCTGGGGCCACTACTATATGTATATTTTTAGTTTTACTTTGTTTTCTTTTAGCAACCGCAGTGAAAATTTCAAAAACCAAATAAATCTCTCAAAAATTTCTTTGTTATTAACAGCTTGGTGCCCTTGTCAAGTGCTGGTGACCTGAGAGTCCCAGAACAATGACATGGATGGCATTCGTCATCTCTTCCTGTAGCGTAACTGGAAGAGCACTCATGTAGTCTGAGGGGGATGTGTGTTCAGTCTCCTGTGTGGGAGGATTTCAGCCCACATCACAGGAGAATGCACCAGTCCCTGTGGGGATGAAGTAGCATCCCAGACTCCTGCTGACAGTTGTCTTCTCAGTGTAATGAATGGGGCATTTGATACAGCAGGAAGTGCAAGGCATGTTTACAGTGTGTCAGGAAGCCACACAGAGGGTAATTCTGATCTTAAGACGAGACTGTTGCAGCAAGAAGGCTGTGGTATGAGATTTAAAATAAGATTTCAGGTTTGACCTCTGGTGTCTTGGGGTAGCATTAGTGTTGAGCTGTAAAGTGATCACAAATAGATATTTGCCAAACTACCTCATCAAGACAGAAGACAGGTGATAGGCCACTTGTCTAGAGATACCTGGATCCTCCAGTGTCTGTTCGTGTCTGATTTAAATCAAAACCACCACCACCAAAAAACCCAAAAAAAGAACAAAGAAAAAAAATAAAACCACCTTCCCTAAAAACCACACAAAAACAATCAATTAACCAAAAAAAACCAGCAAACAAACAAAACCACAAATCCCAAAAAAACCCCACACTGCCAACAAAAAGGTTTATTGCATCAAGGGAAAATTTCAGTAGCCTCTGTTGGTTGACCCAACCTTGCATCATGATGACAAGAGGGCAGCTGCCATTTTGGCCAAATACAATCAGAGGAATGTGTTGGATATGACTCTTCTGTATCCTTGGTGAGCTCTCAATCCACTAAACTAAAAAACTACTTCTGGTAGTGTTTTGGGAATTTGTGTCTAATTTCTTGTCTAAACATCACAATTTAAACTGATCCCACAATTAGTTTTATGCATTTTGCTACATGTTAATTGATTTCCTCAACTCCAAAAGCAATGCAACCTTCAGCAGATGAATTCCCTTGATGCTGTTGTTCTTTTTATCTCTATTGATGTTGTGACCATGAAGTTCCAGGAAGACAGGAGGTGCATGGTGATGATAGACCTTGCTGACCACTAGAGACTCCAGTGAGGGAAAGGACATAAGTAGAAGGGATCTAGTTTGGGCTTGTATCCAGTTATTACAATATATTTTTAAACTATTTTGTACTAAGGAAGTAAACACTTAAGGCTGTGTAAAGGTTAGAGATAGACCCACCCATTCTTGGAAGTATGTACGGCTTGTACTGAGTGACATCAGTGATGGATCTGTCTTATGTGTATATACAGTTTGGTTATTTATTACAGTATAATTTTGTGCCAAAGCTTAGTCAAAAATGTCTGAGGTTGTTTCAGGAAAGTATTGTTTTATACTGAGCTTTTTCTTTTTGGTGAATTTGTTCCAGACCCAGTAAATGAATTTAAAGAAATATTTGCAATATGGGGTACATATCTGGTATCTTAAGCTTTTAAACTATTTGCCTTGATTGCTTTTATTTGTTCTGTGATCCTTTGGAAAGAAAAAAGTATCCTATGTCAAGTTATTTTTACTTACATGAAATACATATTTTAACTACCACAACAGTACCATGAGTCTTGCCACTTTAAAAAGTGATCTGTAAAAGCTGTTTTTTTCTATTAGATATGTTTCTAAGACTTGTTCAATTAAAAAAAAAAAATCAATAAAATTGGAAGCTAGTTTTGTCCCTTGGGATTTTTGTCACTCGTTACATTAGGAATCAAACTGAGTGTACAGAGCCATCCATGTGTGTCATGTGCAAATGCTAAAATGACGTCATGAATTGGATTTTCTACGAAGCACATAGAACTGATGATATTAAATAATGTATGTTTTAAAATGTATTTATTAAAGTTACGTGCACCTCTTTTTAATACTTAAGCATATGGCTCAATATAATTTATTTTTAACAAAAGGGCAAACTGCAGAACTGTTAGGCCGCAGCACTGCTTTAATCCTTGGAAGAGAGTCTTAAAGGTCACCATTAACCAACTCCAGAGCTCTTCATTTTGCATTTTTCAAGTGTCCATTTTTCTTAGCAGTTGGTGAATGTGAAGGTTTTATTTTACCGTGTTAATCATGGAAGCATCTGAGAAGGGTCTGGTAGGAAATGAGGCCCACAGTGCAACACCAAAAGGTGTTGGAATCATTAGCTCATCTGAAGTGCATCTATACTAATGCATGCAGTATGAGCAACAAACAGGGGGAGCTTGAAGCCATGATGCACCAGGAAAACTATGACATAGTGGTTATCACAGAAATGTGGTGGGATGCATCACATGACTGGAGTGCCACAATCGATGGCTACAAGCTCTTCAGGAGGGGTAGAAAGGGAAGGAGAAGGGGTGGAGTGGCCCTCTATGTTAGAGAATGCTATGAGAGCTTGGAAATCAAGTATAGTCATGATGAGGTTGGGAATATTTGGATTAGGTTAAGGGCCAGTTGCTGCTGGTCTCTTTTCACAGGTAATTAGCAACAGAACAAGAGGAAATGGCTTCAAGCTGCAATAGGGTAGGTTTAGATTAGACATTAGGAAATTTTTTTTCACAGAAAGACTGGCTAGAGACTGGAATAGGCTGCCCAGGAAGGTGGATGAGTCACCATCCCTGGATGTGTTTAAGGGTCGTTTGCCTGTGGTGTTGGTGTATCTGGTTTATGGGAGAACTTTGTAGAGTAGGGATGATGGTTGGACTCGGTGATCCCAAGGGTCTTTTCCAGCCTGAATAGTTCTATGATTCTAGTGTGCACCCTGAGTACTGCAATAGCAGAAGAAAAAGTACTGTAATCCTCAGTAATAGAAGGATAAAAATATAAAGTAAGAGTAGATAGGATCTTGTCTCTGAAATAGTCAGATACAGCTCCACTTTTATGGCTGTATTATTACCTCCTGTGTGTTTGCAGCCCATCATGATAGAAACAGGATGAGACTAGTTCTCCTGATTAACCTGTGCATGATGCATGTCATCAAGAGTAGGACACTGTCTGGTTTCTCTAAGCTTGTGTTTTAAGAGGAATACAGCAATACTGGAGAGAATTTGCAGGAGGACCACCAAAACTGAACAAGGATGAGAAAACAAGCATTACAACAATGTGTAATGATATTTTTATGTTTTTAATCAAGGAAGAGATTGAATGGTGATCACTGGACATGTATGCATGCATAGGTCTTTCTGCAAGGCTTTAAATATTATAGACAATAACAAATACTGTAGTTGGAAATAAAACTTATTAACAGAGGTTGTCAGGCATTTTGAAGTCAAGAGTAGTTGAGCATCTTTAAAATGCATCTTTAGAAGTTACTTTAATACAGCTTCTGCCTTGTCTCTGCAATGATCTTGCCTAAGCAATTTTACTAGTTTTCTCTGGTCTTAAAGCTCTGAAAACCCATTATGGCTAGAGTGTTTGTTAAGCAGTCTTTGTGGATATGATGTTGGGGCAGCTTTAATTAAATGTAGCTTCTTTGCCATAGAGGCTAGCATGAGATGCTAAAAGGGATGAAGCTGTTCTAAACAAGTCATTTTTGTCTCATGCCTCCATGGCTTTAAAGCCTCTACAGCTTTAAATTTATATGAGGAAATTTCTATTTTGCTACTATAAGCTACTCTATATTGTGTACTTGTTGTAAGTGCACGTGGAAAAGAAAACTGAAAGTTGGATTTAAGAAAGTCAAATTCAAATTCCATTTATCTCTTTTTATTTCTCTTCAGGTGGAAAGACATGACATGAATACCCTGAGTTTACCGCTTAGCATTCGCCGTGGAGGCTCTGACACCAACCTGAACTTTGATGTACCAGATGGCATTCTGGAGTTTCACAAAGTCAAACTCAGTGCAGATAGCTTGAAACAGAAAATCCTCAAGGTTACAGAACAAATCAAAGTTGAACAAACAGCTCGCGATGGAAATGTCGCTGAGTATTTGAAGCTGGTAAACAGTGCAGACAAGCAACAAGCTGGACGCATTAAACAAGTATTTGAGAAAAAGAACCAGAAATCTGCCCACTCCATTGCTCAGCTACAGAAGAAATTGGAACAGTATCACAAAAAGCTCAAGGATATTGAGCAAAACGGATCTTCCAAAAGTACTAAGGAAACCTCCAAAGATAATTTAAAAGATACTCAGCATGGAAAGTCTCGAACCTCTGGGCATGGAACAGAGAGCAGCAAGTCGGGTGTGCCGGGTGTATCCTTGACACCACCTATCTTTGTTTTCAGCAAGTCTAGAGAGTTTGCAAACCTGATCCGAAACAAATTTGGTAGCGCAGACAACATCGCTCATCTCAAAAACACCTTGGATGAATTTCGGCCAGAATCGAGTTCAAGAACATATGGGGGCAGTGCCACCATTGTTGCCAAACCAAAATATGTTAGTGATGATGAATGCTCCAGTGGGACTTCTGGCTCAGCAGATAGTAATGGGAATACTTCCTTTGGTCCTGCTGTTGCAAGTACCCTGGACAGCCAGGGAAAGCTTTCCATAATTTTGGAGGAACTAAGGGAAATCAAGGAGACACAGTCCCAGTTAGCTGACGATATTGAGAATTTAAAAGCACAATTTAAAAGAGACTATGGCTTTATTTCTCAGATGTTACAAGAGGAAAGATATAGGTATTTTTTTGTTTTTAAACTGTTCTCTTGAAATGACTTTTGAATGGGTATAGAAGCTGTTTGGAAAGTATAAACGTGTGTGTGTGCTTGTGTGTGTGATACTTCAGAAGCAAGAGGAAAAAAATAATTCCAAACAATATCTGGTACCAAAATGTTCCACTCCTTCCAATAAGTGAAAATACATACAGAACATTAATATTTCCTGTGAAATTATGTGGTACTTCTTGGCTTTTTTGAAGCCTTGTCATAAAATTCCCTTATCTGATATCTTACTGCCATATTGTATTATGTGAATGCTGCATATAGGGAATGGCAAAGGTTTTGTTACTGGTGGAAGAATCCTGGTCTGTTGTGACCTGAAAATGCTAATCAGTCTAAGATATTTCAGAGCTGAATTACAGCTGATAAATATACCCTTTAGTCCTGAGTACCTTGTCCATATACTTCTCAGGCATATTGCTGTTGCGTGGAGGCAATGTCACTTTTTACCCCATGTGACACACGGCTGTGAAATGTAGTTTTAATGCTGTAGCACAACTTCCTCTTGCATTTATTACTTAGCAATTAATTCCTTTTATCATCCACTGTGGGAAGTGAGATATGCTCTACAGAGGGCTTGCACCTGCTGTACCTATATTCTGTTTGTCATCTCCCTTGTTGATTGCTGGAGTCTTTACTACACTAATGGGCAAAAAACTCAGTATGAATTGCAATATTGATGTTTCCTTTGTTTGCACTTCTTGAAATACAAGGAAAGGCTGCATATTGGCTGGTAACACGGGAGAGGAAAGAACAGAGCAAATAGCCTTCTGCACTCAGGACTTGGTTTCAGGATAAGGCAGAGCAGCCTTTTTTGACAGCTTGCTGCCAGTAACATCTCAGGTCTCCTCCACCATTTCCACAGTCAACTTTTCCTCCATCTTTTTTGTGCCGACTGCAGTGTTTGCCTGTTGGTGTGTTAAACCAAGTTATAAATTCATACACACACAAATTTAGTTTTTGATAGTTTGCCATGCAGACACGTGCCAGAACAGGCTGTACATGAATGGCAGGACTCAAGTTCCTGAGAACATGTTTTTCCTTGCACTACTGGTGAGCTGTTAGCTGGCTCAAGTTTACTTACGAAACCGTATCATCATGTCTAAATGAAATGTGAGAAATGGAAAAATGTGAGCTGTGCACTCTTAGCCACTGAAAGTTCATATCATTTGCCAATGATGTACAAATATTTGCTTTTTAACATTGCCAGCAAGGAATACTCAAAAAAAGGCTTTCAGTTCAATGAATAAATGCTTATAGAGAGTTTCCAAAGATTTTGCTGATCTCTCTGTGTTCTGTAATGCCAGTCAGTTGAATCCATAGTACCCTGAGAAGTTACCTTTTAAAATGTGTAATTGTTTTTATGATTTAGCATTACTTGAATAGATTGCACTAAATTTAGACCTTTTTTCCTGATAAGATACGAAAGATTGGAAGACCAGTTAAATGACCTCACTGATCTTCATCAACATGAGACAGCAAACTTGAAACAAGAGCTAGCCAGCATAGAGGAGAAAGTGGCATATCAGGCATATGAGCGATCACGAGATGTTCAGGTACTTGTGGGGTTTTTTTACCTTTGTCATAAATGTCTAACATGTTGTAGAATATTTGTACTGTAAAACACTTGCATCTTTCTACATTTTTGTATATAAGAAGTCTGGGGAAAGGTTTAAGTCCATGCTCTGTTTTAAGATGAAAGCTCAGTATGTTTAAATCAGTGACAGTATCCAGTTGTTTCAATGTATTCAGAATTTTATCTGCTGGAATTGATGATACAACCTAGGCAGACTTGTGCATGAAGAATGGCCTATTTTAATACCTTGCACCAGAGGAGGAAGGAATTGAGCCTCCTTGTATTGTGTAAAATGCCACTTTTGACAATGTCCTGACACAAACCTCTTGTCTTGGGTTTTCAACAATATGTAGGCATATCACTGGCAAGGTTTATTGTAGATTTGGCAGTAATAACTTACGAGTTTTAACCCATGATCGCAATGGTCCCTATAATCAAAGCTGTAGGGTTTGTTCACCTTAGTGATCAGTTGTAGTCACGTCTGGCTTCACTCAAAAGCCAGTAATAATTTCTACAAGTTTGTGCTGACAGCATGTAGTTACATACTTGAGTATTTGTATACAATGTAAGCATTTATATAATGCATAATATTTCTGCTTAAAGTCTAAGTAAGTGGTGAAAAATGGTGAGAACACTGTTTTGCCTTACCTGGGTTTAAATTAATTAACTGAGGAATGCTCAGAGACTGTCTTCATTAGGGCTCAGATGGTAAAAAAACAAACAAGCCCTGCTCTGTACGCCCCTGTGTCACATTTCTAAATGTTGAGAGCACCACCCTTTTTCCTGATTGGTGTGAGAGCTGGGAACATCCAGGGAACAGTGTGGGAAAGCAATGATACTGAATCTAAAGCATACCATAGGTTCATTTGTAGGTTTAAAGAAGAGAGGTCCCTCATGCAGGGCTCCTTCCCATGAAGGCATCTTAAGGGTGTAAAAACTGAATGAGACTCAAGTTCTCCAGCAGTAGAGCTGTGAAATATTCACTAACTCCTCAGCAGAACTAGAAGTTCTAAAACTAATAGAACATCAGATCTAAAACTAATTGAAGTGCTACACTGATACAGCCTTGTTTCTTTTCTCTCTGTACAATTGGCCATGTTTAAATGTGTCTCTTTGGGGGTTGGCAGATAAGCTAAAATAGAGTAAAAGCATTTAAGTTGTGTGGGTATTTTAAGTAACAACCTTAGGTTTGCAGTGCTCTGTCCCTAAGGGATTCGTAGATTGTGTTTAGAACACTTGCTCAGCATCTCAATGCAGAACTGCAAGCATCACACTTTTACAGCAGGACTTTCTCTAAAGCAGCACAAGGTGATTTCAGAATAATTTACGGTCAGTGTGGAAGAAAGACCAGGAAAAAGTTCTTCAGTGTGTACCAAAGAGCATACATGAACCGCAGGGGACTTTGTACTACCTGTTAAGAACCATCTTCTATCATTACTAACTCCTAGCATGGTGAAAGGGAGCAGCCCTTTGTTAAGTGCTGTGCCACATGCTTTGTACTGACTTTACTTCCTGGCTGGTTACATGGTAAGCCAGTTCAACTTGCCAAAAACAAGAAGCGACCCAGCCAAAGCAAGCTAGGAACTCCATGTGCAGTGGTTTTGTTTGTTTGTGTTTACATGGAGGATTGGGTTGAATCAGCTTACTGTGCAATCAGGTGAACATCCCTGCCCGGTGCAAGGCAAATGTTTGGAATTTGAGAGTGAGGAAGGAGGAAGGGATTCTGGAGCATAATTTTCCCTTTTACCCAGTGGTAAAAGGTTATGTCAAGTTGATTGATCTCATTCATTTATAGCCTTTCACTCCATTACACAGTGGTGCCCAAGTCCCAGCTCCAGCAAAAAGTGTCATTTTGGCAAGTGAAGCAGTCAGAAAGTTTTCCATGTTTTGCTGTGAGAGGGCCGAAGTGTGGACTTAGTAACAATTTTGCTCAAAGACTATATTTAGTTCACCATCAAGCGGAGCAGCAACGTCTACTTTCTTTAGAACAAAACGTGAAGTGTAATATATCATGAGAGGTTCCCATGAAGGTATCGCCACAGATTTCTCCACTGTCTCTACTGCCTGCTGCCCTCTTGGGGTATGGATTAATGAGCCCTCTCACTGACAGAGGGAGAAAGCAATCTCTTACTAACAACTCAATCCCAGCACTGTATGGTGGGTGGCTTTGAGAGAAAAGTAATGTAGAGGTGGTGGAAACCAAATGGTACATGTTGTAAAGCAGTTGTAATTAGCATCACAGCAAGCCCTACTACCTTAATGTTTTCTATAGTGTATACAAATAAACTTAACTTTGATGCTGTTTTTATGCAGTGAAAGTTGCCATGGAAACAGCTTTTCCAATACTTCTATCTCATCAGTATATGCAGGAAACATTATCTGTCATGGAGTTACAGTACTTTTTCTCAAACATCAAAAATGTAAAAACTACATTTTGGATGATGTTGTCAGACTTGATTGGGCTTCAGCAGATATATATGTGAATTTATTTTTTAAAGAGTTGGCAGTTCATTTAAGTTTTAGGAGTCTATAATAAATTACATTTCTAATCTAGCCAATGGATGGCTTTGCAGCTAAAACAGAGTGGTGTGTGGAAATACAGCTGCCCTGATTCTTGTTTTCTGTCTTCAGGAAGCCTTGGAATCATGCCAGACCCGGGTTTCAAAGCTGGAGCTCCATCAGCAGGGACAGCAAGCACAGCAGTCCGAAACGGTTAATGCCAAAGTGCTCCTGGGGAAATGTATAAATGTTATCCTGGCCTTCATGACTGTCATCTTAGTGTGCGTTTCCACCATTGCAAAGTTCATTGCTCCTATGATGAAGAGCCGTTTTCATATCATTTGCACTTTTTTTGCAGTGACACTGCTGGCAATATTTTGTAAAAACTGGGATCATATTATTTGTGCCATAGAAAGGATGATTATACCCAGATGAAGCGGCTTGTCTGGCTGCTTTTTCTTTTTCTTTTTTTTTTTTTTTTCCCCTCCCTGTTTTCTAAGTGCTGTATGTACACGTAATATTTTTTGTCAGTTTAAATGTGCAGAGTGGATGGAGAAGGCTGCAAAGACTCTTGAACTTTAAGGTGTAAATACATAAATGCGTATGTGTTGGCCGTCAGTCACCTGTTCAATCAGATTGGGTCTAGATGGTTATGTCTGAGATGAACTGCTCACTTATGTCAGTCTTCTGCCTTAATCCAATGGGTTTTCCACTTTACAAACCCAGGCCCACAAAGATGGCATGATGCGTAACCACTGCCCAATAGTGATGGGTTCCCCAGGAAGTGTAATTGTACCAACAGAGAAAGAATAGAGAAGGAGGGAGTTGAACACTAGGATTCCTCTAGAAGATTAAAATGGGGTTTGGTGTGTTCATTCTTTTTTGAGGGTAGGGAGATGTGCTTTCTCCAGAATTATGGCTGTTGTCATTCCCTATAAACATATATTTATGATGTATATTAAAAGACTTTCAGTTCAGTGCTTTTCTCAGAACTCTTCTGGTTTTGCTTGTTTCTAAATAAAATTATAGGAAGATTTGCGTTAATAGGGAGTACTGACATTATAGCCACTAGAATATTTCAAGTATTTTAGATGCAGATTCAAGCACACTTTTGGGCTATAAAATTACCTAATTTTCTAATTGCACTTCACATTCAACTATTTGCTTTTTCTTTTTCTTTTTTTTTTTTTTTTCCTTCCCCTCCCTGTTTTCTAAGTGCTGTATGTACACGTAATATTTTTTGTCAGTTTAAATGTGCAGAGTGGATGGAGAAGGCTGCAAAGACTCTTGAACTTTAAGGTGTAAATACATAAATGCGTATGTGTTGGCCGTCAGTCACCTGTTCAATCAGATTGGGTCTAGATGGTTATGTCTGAGATGAACTGCTCACTTATGTCAGTCTTCTGCCTTAATCCAATGGGTTTTCCACTTTACAAACCCAGGCCCACAAAGATGGCATGATGCTTTGGGAGGGATCCAAGCAACTGCAGATGCCAGATGTGCTTCTTACAAGACTGGATTGCGAAGAGTGTGATCAGGAGCACGTGCACTACGATGTGTATCAGTCCTGTTAGACTAAAAAGTTAATTTTCTCTTTGAATCCAGTTAGAACGATAAGCCAAATTATACAATCATATGTATTAATTGTTCTTGATTCTAAATTGATGGGTATGTGTATACGGGGTTTCTAATTTTCAGGACCAGAAAAACTTGATGCTTCTGCTAGTAACCCCTTGCACAGAGAGTTTGTTTGTAAATTGTGATGACTGTTGACCAGGCTTAGCAGTTGTTTTATGCTGGCACTGTTCCTTATCACACTCAGGAAACACGCAAAAGTGGCATAAGGCTTCCAAAGATGAACTGAATTCAATTACAAGATCTCCAGGCTGCTTTGTAAAGGAGTAATTTGTGGATATGTTGTTGTGCAGAGGAAAGCACCCTCTTCAAACCCTGCAACCTGCAAGTGGAAAGGAGTACACAGAAAGGCAAAATTTAGGTTAGCTTTTGTTAGCACTGAATTGTTGGGGTGCTCCAGCTGAATGCAAAGCAGATAGGTGGTGGGACTCTGGTACAGTGGATTTCTTTTGTATCAGGCTAAGGAATGTGGACGCAGCATGAGGGAACAGGTCCTTATGGGAGCAAGGAGTTAAACTTCTGTAAATATACCAACACTGTGCAGACTCTCTTGTCAAACATTCCTGGATATAATGTATTAGCATACAGTACCACTACTAGGAGACAGGGTTGGTTTTGTTTTCTACCAGAATTTTTTTTGTTTGCTTTAAGAACTGCAAAAAAAAATATTCCATGAAATCTGCTTGGCTTTCAGCCATGATGTATAACCAAATCTTTAATAAAAAAAACAAAACCAAACCCAAACAACAAACCAAACAACCACAATCAGAGTTCTTCTCCACTCTCTATTAAATGAAAAAAACAACAACAACAACAACAGTGTCTTCAATTATTTGATGTTCAGTGTTGCTTACTTTCAAATTATGACAGATTTTCTTTTCAGTTGCAGGATCTGTTACTCTGGTTTTACACGGTGGGGAAGGCAAGGGGATTACTCTGTGTATTTGTTTTTAGTCAAGTGTAACAGTTGGTGTAGAAATTCAGAAAAACGGTATTCTGAGGAAAGGGACTGGGGGAGGGGAGGCAGGGGAAGAACTTTGACATTTTACAATGATTGGATTAACAGTGAATACAGTTACTTTTTGTGGCTTCAGGGACTGAAGGAGGGACAGAATTAACTGCATAAACAATGATATGACTCACCATTTAGAAAATTAAATTAAAACCCTTAAAAAATAATTAAAGTATTCTTTATCTGTGCTACGTCTTTGAACAGAGAAATCAGGAAGGATTGTCCTGGCTCACAAGCACGGGAAATGGAGCAGATCAGGCACACCCATGTTATCTGACCCCAGCCCTGGCTAATCTTCAGAGGAAGGTGGAGAGGAAAGCAGAAGTCCTGCTGAGGGGGTTTTGCCTTTATAAGGCCCAGACTTACCAATTAGTTTATCCCTGGCTGTGTCAGGAAGAGTTATTATATAGATACATTCTTATTTTCCTTAATGGGTTTGGGATTTTTCCTGTTTACCTTTACCCCTGTATTCCTGGCATCCCCTGAAGAAGGAAGGAGGTATTGTGTTATGTATAAAACCTCTGTTCTAACTGTTGCATGTGCTCCTGCTGCTGTTCAGTTCAGGGTGACCTTCCTTCTCATGACTCTTAGCCCATTTTGGCACTGTATGAGTGCATTGCAGAAGTCCTGGCCCCCACCTCCCAAGTACTTGCACTTACCTCCTTTTACAGCCAGCTCATAAACTGAGGAGGTTGCTTCCACCAATGCAGCTTATAAACTTACCTTCACAGAGAAGTCTCTTCCACAATGTTAAAAAGATTTAAAAAGAAGTAGCTCTTTCCTGGCCTTACATCACAAGAAAAGGTTTCCCTTGGTTTGTTTTTATGCCCTTTGATGTGTCCTGAGATCTACTTGGTCTTTTCCACTGTTTTAATATAATTTATTCCTATCTTCATTTTTGAAAAGTTGTAGGATATCTTTTTATAGTCTGTACTTTATATTGCTTTAGCCAATGAGTGTGTTTTTATTCAGAGTCCCTTTCTTTCTGAAGTCTTTCCCTGAATTCCTCCACCCATCTTTCTAATCAGCCCTATGACTTTATTTCTCTCATTCCTGTAGGCCACAAGATTATACATCCACTGCAAAAAAAACACTAATAGAGTCCTGGTACTGATCCTCAGCGGTGACTCTTCGTGGTGTTTTCTTGCCATCTTTATTTATGATCTCCATCCTTCTATTCAGTTTGCACAGCCACCTTCTAGTTTGGCCGCTTGAACAGGTCCAGGAGGGTATGTGGGCAAGAAACACCATGTGTTAATAACTTACAGAAGAAAAACTCACTTGCCTGCTGCATGGTTATATGCTTAAAGATATAATCCTCCAGTTCTAGTGCCTATAGTTAAAAATGTGATGCCAGGTAGTCTCAAGGTCAGGCAAGAAAATGGTTGGTTATTTTTCTTGGCCCAAAAGAAGGTGGTATGGTATTATGTGGGGATGTGAAGGCTTCTGCTTCAAGGGCATCCTATGACAATCCTGGAAGATGACCTCAGTGTAAAATGAAGGTAGAACATAAAATCAATGGGCCTATGAAAGATTGCTTGCTGCCTTGATAAAATCTGACAGGGTCCAAATTGGAAACAGAAGGGTCAGGTGGTTCCATATTGGCTTTATATCTGGCAGAGCACACAGAAAAAACTATACAGGCTGCATAATGTTACTTATGCAAATTAAAACAACCCTAATTGGTAAACGAGCACAGCACTTCCCTAGGTTATTTTCCCTGCTAGATTTAAATCACTGGAGGATGTGACATACATCAAGAAAATAAAAATGATGCTAAGGGCAAAAGCCTGCTTTTGGGTGAAACTGCTATAGTTTTGCACAGAGTAAAGCTGCAGTGCCAGGAGCTCTTCCATGTGGAAGGCCACCCAAAGGGGAGGGAGGTCTCCCCTTCTGCCTTCACCCTCCCCTTTCTTACCTTGTGCTGACACTGGTATGTGTTGCAATCTTCCCTATGCCATGTTAGCTCATGAGGCTGGAGGAGACACAGTGGAAGAGGTGGATAGTTCTCTACCTCTAGAGACTTCAAGGAACAAGATGTTCCCTCCAGGAAACATCTACAAGCAGGTCCAGGATGTGGTAGCAGAGGCCAGCCACCTGTGTCTGCACCCAGGATCAAAAGCAGGCTGGTGGCTGGAGTAGCCAGCAGTGACGCCCGTGCCACCAGTATCAGCATCACTTCTACCGCATAGGCTGAAAGTAGATGAGTGTGTGCAGCTGGCTGTGGAAGTGTGCCTGGGCCATCCCAAACAGCTGCAAGACCTCTTCTTAATGAAAGTTTTGTTCAGCTTCTCAATCAATTAAGCATGTTCTCTTGGGATTCTGTCAGTTTGTCTTTATATCCTTGTATGTATTAGACATTCTTAGTATAGTCTTTAAGCTTACTCATCATGGGCCTCTAAAACACTCCCACTCAACAAAAAGCTGCCAGACAGTGTCTTTCCTGCTTGGTGCTGCCTTGGTAGTCAATTATTTTACTTCACTTAGACAGTAGTTCTCCAACTGAAAAGTCCTTTGGGTAGTTGTTAATACCTGTTCAATAGGCTTTTGGCAGCTTTTTTGCTCAGAGTTTTCAGGGGAGGCAGTTCCTTGTGAAGGTTAGTACAATTTTCCTGATCTCTTCCCATCTCAGCATTCAGGTCTAAATTAAGTTTCCTCTAAAACTGGTATAATGGATCCCTCCACTAGCTTCAGCTGTAACTCCAGTATTGTTGAACATCCAATTAGTCATTGACAGCACTGAATAAGACCCAGTTTAAATTCCTTCACCTTTCTGCTTTACGTTGTGTTCGGGCAACTTCTCATTTTACAGCACTCCTGGGATGTCTGCTTGCTCTGAATTCTTAGAAAAGCACTATCAAATCAGACTTCT